CGGCGGCGCCGGCGCGTCCGCACCTCCAGGCAGTTCTGGCCCTTGAGGTGCCGCTGCCGGTGGTCGTCCTTGGCGAAGGCCTTGTGGCACAGGTTGCACTCGTAGGGCCGCGCGCCCGTGTGCAGGTGCATGTGGTTCTTCAGGTCGTAGCTGTGCAGGAAGCGCGCGCTGCAGTGCTGGCACGAGTAGGGCCGCTCGCCCGTGTGCTTGCGCATGTGGATCTTCAGCTTGTCGTTCCTACGGGGGACACGTGTCAGTGATGCCAGCATGGGGGGGGTCTCGGTACCCTCTGGCACCAGGAGATGAGGGTGCACCGGGGGTGGCAGCACCAGGGGAATATCCCCAGGAGCACCAGGACAAGGAGACAAGGGTGCCCTGGGGGGCTGCACTAGTAGAACATCCCCAGGACCCCCAACACCAGGAGAGGAGGGTGCACTGGGTGGGGGGAGTCCCCTAGCAGCAAGACACGAGGGTGACCTGGGGGACCCCCAGAGCAAGGAGACAAGGGTGCATCAGGTTGGAGAGCACCAAGGAAGCACCCCCAGGACAGGGGAGGAGGAGGCACCAGGTAGGGCTGCATGTGGGGAGCACCCAGCACCCCCAGGACGAGGAGATGAGATTGCACTGGGGGTGGCAACCGGGGCAGCAACCCTAGAGCTCCAGCATCAGAAGATGAGGGTGCACTGGAGGATCCTACTGGAGCACCCCAGGACCAGGAGCCACGGGTGTCCTGGGCAGGGTGGTACCTCCTACCCAGATGGGGTGCACAGGGGATGGCTGGGGTGCACGAGCCGGGGCCACATCCCTGGGGACCGGGACAAGGACACACACACACACACTCACCGCGTGAAGCGCACGCCGCAGACCTGGCAGGCGAAGGGCTTCTCGCCGGTGTGCGTGCGCATGTGCCGCGGCAGCTTGCCGGCGCCGTGGATCACCTTGTGGCACACGGGGCACTCCTGCGGCATCTGCGAGCGGCGCTTGCGCACCAGCTTGTCGGGGCTCTCCAGTCCCGGCGCCAGCGCCTCGGGGGGCAGCGAGCCCAGGTAGGCCATGAAGTGGGGGTCAATGGGGTCCTCGTCGGAGGCTGCCTCCTCGGGCTGCAGCGGCGGCTGATAGGGGAAGGCGAAGGCGTGTGGGGGCAGCTCCTCCTCTTCCTCGGGCACCTCGTAGCCCTCGCAGGCGGGCGGCCGCCCCTCGGGCACCGGCGGGGGGGGGGGGGGGAAAAAAAAAAAAAAAAGAGTAGGGGCAGAGAAGTGGTTTGATGCTGTGGGAATGAGTCAACCCTTTTCTATAAAGTGAAGGAGAAGCCGTCAACTTAAGATGAAAGGAATCATATGAAACAGAGAGCTATGGTTAACACCAAATTTAGCTCCAGTATGTGCCTTTCGCAGCTTCACCTAAGTTTAGCTTTAAACATTCAGTATTTCTCCATAATATAAAGCTGGAAATAAGGTCTCCTGAAAACACAGGACACCTGCAATCAGGAGTCCAATTATCCTCTAGTTTGGACCGAGAGAATGGCACAGTACTTGGCTAACTGCACCAAGAAAACCACTTTTGGGGAGAGAGCGAATAGACACAGTAGTAAAAGACGCTAGTGAAGTTTGGGAAGTGAAGCCCATTTAACATGAAGGAGCACACTTCAGCTAACGTTGTCTTTTCTGTCCTTCGCTTTCATACATCAGTAATGGCAACCAAATAATAATGGAACAAACTGTTACATACAACAAGCAACTCCTGCAGGCATGCCAAGGAGTTCCAGGGGGACCTACAGGGTGCATTTTAACCGGGTGCCAGCTGACCTGCACCAGCACATAGATGCTCAGTGGTACTGAAGTTACCAAGTTGTCTTCACTTTGGAAGGAACGCAGGCACATCGGGGCCGGGGGAAGAGACCAGATCTACAGGGGCATCCATTAAGCACCATGACTTCAATGCAGAGCAGATACAGACAGTGAAATTCCTCTGACCCTCTGAGCATGGGGTTATGCAGTACGAATGGTTCTCAAAATTTCTTATCAGTTCACGTTTATTTAAAAGCTCCTTACCAGAAAACATAACTGAGTCCAAATAATTTGACTGCATTGCATTCTATTCACAAAAAGGCAAAGGAAATGATGTGGTTTTATTCTCAGAGCACACATATTAGAACTTCAGCATTATTTTGATGTCATATTTTGATGTCATGTTTTTGAAGTAGGGAATAAAAATTTACAAAAGCTTATTATTCATTTATCAATATAAATGGTTAGAGAAAAAATTATATACATAGCCTGACCACACAAAGCATCAAGGAGAAAGAAAGAAGGTCAATGACGGGGCAAAGAAATTACCAGAGCTGAAATGGCAGCAGAAAAAAAGGAAAAAAAAAATCTTAATAGTTTCATGTCAGATCCCCATCTTTCCTAGAAAGAGTGGCACAAAAAGCTGCAGGGGCTATAAGAGGGATTTCTGATAGCTCCTGAGTTTGAGGACATACTTATGGTTGTAAAGAGTAACTATATTTAAGAGGAAAAACCCCCCAGTCTAACATCCAGTAAGACTAATGCATCTCTTACATTCAGTAAGAGATGCATTAGCCTGACTCAATAGCCTTCAAGATTTTAGAAGATTTTTTTTTAGGCAAAATAAAGTAAATGGACAATAGACTAAAAAATAGCAAGTGTTAATGTGAATTTGGCTAGCCTAATGTCTTTGCCTCCATGTCAGGAAAGGAAAATACAAGTGCTAGAGCCTTTCGCAAGGCACTGGGTGACACTCACAGCCCTTACTTCCTAATGCAGACAGATTAGTACAGCTGTAGCAGAGAAAGCATAGTCTGAAAGAAGAGAATGAGAAGGTCACTGCGACCCCAGAGTGAATCAGAGTGCTGCATCGAGCCATGCCCGGCACTGCACTGTGCTGGGAGCTGCATGGAGCCGTGTCACACCATGCCTGGCACTGCATGGAGCTGTGCCAGGCCCTGCGCGGGTTGCACCGAGCTGTCCTGCGCCATGCCCACCGCTGCACAGAGCTGTGCCACAACATGCTCTGCATTGC